GTTTACCGACATACCAGCAGTTACTTTTGTGAGTAGGTGGATGTCGCATATTTGGAATGAAATGCTTGATTTTCTTTTTTTTTTTCTCTATTTTTTTTTTTTTCATCTTGACACGATGCCATAACGAAATATAAAAAGGTATCACTCTGCTGCAAGGTTTCCAGACGTTTCCATTAACATGCAAATTTTATAGCGAGCGCGTGGCACGAAGGCATCTCGGAGTTAACTTTAAAATAATGTGCGGAAGTTTATCACGAGTTTGGTGCCGTTTAATGCCGCCACGCGTGTTTGTGAGTTTTTCTTTCAGTGTTTCGTCTCGTGGGGTCAGTTTGGTTCCTAATCGGTTCCCTGAAAGTTTCCTGGAACAGTTTGACTTTAGAAAAAACCTCTATTTAAACCATCATCTATTAGTCCGTATTGTGCGCTTGGCTTCAGTAGAATTGTTGCATGTTCAGCTGACTCTCGGTTAATTACTTCACTTCCTTCTACACATTTATAAACATATGATGAACCTGTACAAAACCTTATGTGTTCATTTATATTCCAGGAATCAGAAAGTAGAGTTTTAAAGAGATGCTTTCTACATTACAAGCAAATACGAGGCCTCGCGAGATAATCACATTCATGCAAAAAAATAAAAAATTCCTGGAATCTCCAGATAAAAGTGAGATTGACTTCACCTATTATGATGCATATATGCATCTTCAGTAATCTATGTATGTGCATGCATTTGCTTATGTTTATGTGACCTATATAAGCGGTGCAGGTGCACGTCTGCACTTTCATGGCACCTTCATGGCAGCATGTAAGCTTACTGTAGGCTATAATGCACTTTAAATAGACTGTAAGTAAGCCCTGTGATAGAGCGTATTAGCCGTGACTGTTTTTTTTTTTCCAAGAGATTCAAGTACTTACAGTACGAACTACTATTTTTATATACTATTTATACGTATGTGTAGGCAAATCTGCATCTGTGCCTTGCATTCTGCGCGCCGCATGTTAATATACATGTATGAAAGACGCCGCACTCCCCAAGTTTCCCTCCTTGTATATAATCCATGTAGGCTTGTGCACAAAGTAGCACAATCTGCTTAGTGCAATTTTTACATCTCAGCTCCAACACACATGCGAAACCTCATGTCAGCAGCGTCCAGTGCAGGATTTAAGGCCTGACATGGATGTAAAGGGGCTTTAACAGCTTGATTGGAGGCGTCGGATTGGCTTCTTGTTAGACTGTCTGGTTAAAAAAAAAAAATACACGCATATACAGCACAGAGTGTTCACTGTACAGCAGCAGCAGGCCGGTTTGACCCGACGGAGGAGCTTCGGGGGAACAATCCACGTAATCACCACCCACAGACAGGACAGAAGTGGTGTGAATTCTGTGTAGTTTTGCCACTTAAGTCACCCGGAGAGCAACGAGGCAGCCTGAGCGTGTCAGGTAGTCATCTAACAAGCCAACCCTTCCATTCAGCGCGGCCCGTCACTCACGCCCGCCTCGCTCTTTGAAGTCTTTATTAATTAACCCCCGGCTGCCTGGTCAGAGTTCAGGTCCTGCTCGTGAAGCGGTGGCGTCTGTGTTGTCGGCCTCGGGGGTCGCGACCCGAGACCACGCCGCGACCCGGCCCTCTATTTGAGCCAGATGTTGGGAGACAAGCATCTCTTGCATTCTTGCTCCTCGCCGATGCTCCTCTGGATAGATCCCTCCTCCTCCTCCTCCATCCTTCCCTCCATCCATCCATCTACCCCTCCACCTCCACCCCTCCCTCCCTCCTCGTTTGGCCCACTGCCCTTTTCCGCTTCGCTCAGGGGAAAGAGCGCCGTGTGTGTGTTGCCTGGCAGCGTGCCCGCTCTCATCGTCTTTTCTCTTTTTTCATTTCTACCTCATCCTCCCCTCATCTCTCTCTCTCTCCCTTCTACCTCCCTTTGTCACTCTCCCCACCTGCTTCTAATCACTCCCCCTCCATCTCTTTCACTCCCTGCCTCCATTCATACTTCGTCTTCCTCCCTCTCTCCCTCCCTCCCCCTTTCGCGTCTCTTCCTCGGCTGGGCTCAGGAGCAGTGAACAGGTGTTGTCTCCTTTTGATTTGGGTGCGTTCGGATTAATGCTGTCAGCTCAGCTGTTAAAACAACTGCCACCGCCAGATGCCAGTCAGTTTGGGGCTGGAGTTGTCACCTACACACAAACTCACACGTACGCACACACACACATATTCAAACATCCAAACATACGCAGATGCAAAGCGTGCGCACAAACACACACACACACACGACACGAGCGCGTACGCACACACCAACACTTGGCCTCTTGGCTCATTGTAATACTGACAAAGCAAATCAGCTGTTGTATGCCAGTCTTGTCTCTAACCCAGGTGTGTGCTTCTGCAGCCGCTCCAAAACATCGCAGTCGGTGGCGATAAAAGTCAGCCGCCGTGTGCTGCAGTGATCATTAATACACTGTCAAGGTTGCTAAAGACTTACTCGCCGCTTTCTGTTATTTATTGCGGCGGAGACGTCGGTTCCTCGAGATCCGAGGCGCTATTTTGGAGATTTTAATTAGTTAAGGGGTCAATTTACCCGAGACGCCGCCTGTGTTGTCTCCCGCGGCTCTTTGATGAGCTTCCTAAAGTCAAAGAAAATAACCCCGAAGATGTCGCCGGGGGTTATGGTAAGCCCGGGGTTTGGGGATGTCAAATATTTGACGGAAAATCATAAACTGGGAGTTCAAAAGGCTGAGCTGAACTTTAACATTCAGGAGATACGGCTCTGGAAATGATTTTTGTTTTTACTCGTTGGTGATGCTTTATAAAGTAATGCTTTGTTTCTTATTCAAGGTTCAGGATTCTTTTGCTTATGATGACACATTTATTCACTAAATACTGTTTTAAAGTGCCTTATGTAAGTCTTTATTCATACGTCGAGATCCAAGGTTCAGTGAACGCTCCAATTTTGTCTAAAATTAATGGATGCGCTGCAAATTTTACACTTATTTTAGACGCTAGAGGACTTGCCGTGTAACGAAGACGGACTTCCAGGGTTTTTATTTCATAACAAATGTAAGGAACCAATTCTGTCGTGGACTTTCCATATTGTTATTACTTCAATATTATAACTTGAGCAGCTTAGAGTAGCTTTACGGTGTTTTTGCAGCATCGAAGGCGAGCTAATGTGAGTGGAAAGAAAAACACAGTTTATGTACATCTTCACCAGATTTAGCTAAAAAAGGGGCACCATGACAAAGACGTATGTGTCAGTTAAAGACCTCTGGGCAGCGCAAATGTGTTCAAGCTAGCTTTCTTATATGGCGTAATGTGACAGCTGTCTTTTATTATGCTGCATTTATTAGGAATATTTTTAAATCTGCAACATCTGCTCGACAACAGACACTAAGATCAGGTTTAGCCGGATGTATATACATATATACATATATATAGTATGCTAGAGTTGTGTTGGAAAGGTTGAGGTCATTGTGCATTAAGATTCCAGCCATGCATTCCACAAAGCAGTTAGCAGCTCACTGGGAAGACACCACTTGACTCCGCACCACCACTGATGTAGCGCTACATGTGCTGCAGTGGTGTCGCTGGAGCTGGACGAACTATGACATCGTTTATGAATCATCCCACGCACCTCCCACGAAAAAAAAAGTTTTAATTTTAATACATATTGATATATATATATGCTATAGGCCAATATCGCCCAATAACAACCAATATATGAGTCAGGCGTTGGTATAAAAACAGCATAAAACCACTGAGGTTGGTTTCTGTTGGCTCGGGCTGTAGCTCCGTTTGCCAGACTCTCCTCTACCCTGCTCACTTGTTCCTTCTCTTTTCTCCAAACCATCCATCCTGCGGCGTCCGTAGCGTCCTGTCAGGAGTTTCATCTCCTCCCTGCTTCATTTTTTTTTAAGGTGTTACCGCAACAGAAAAAAAAAAACTTTGTACATCTCAGATCTAGCGTTCATGCATGTGTGTGTGTTTGGTGTCTGCATGCGTCACCGTTTTCTCTGGCAGCGGCCCTCCTCCCTCCTCCTACGCTCACAGCCCTTTTTTTCCGCCTGACAGTTGCTTAAATTTAGAACGTGGATCCTTGTTCGCTGAAAAAAAAAAATTTGTGAGTAAAATGATGATTAACTATGAATATCATTGATCGGCGGCGGATAAGTGGTGTGTAACGGCGCTATTTAAGGCTCCTTTTTAGATGTGAGTTCTGTCTTGTCTTGTGTGTCAGATGGTGGGTAGTGGGCTTCGCGGCGGCGGATGCAACAGTTCGACTGGATTGTTTTCATCTATCTTTATCTTTCAAATTGAACCTACGTTTGTTTTTCTTCGCCGCACCAGACTAGTCTTGTGATGGTCGGACACTGGACACTTGTTTCTTGAGGTCATGCCGGTGCGTCTGACACACTCTTTTACGCCCAAAAGCGCACACACCCAACTCTTTAACATTGAGCCCTCTATGTGCCTCCCAGCCCCGCCGCCGTATCGCTTTACGCTGTGAAAACACAGGCCGACGCTCGGATTTGTAGCCCCCTTTGTAACCCGCCAGCTTTTTTTTCTGTTTTTCTTTTTTGCCCCAGTTTACCGCAGATCACGCCCTCCTCGTCCAGTTTGTCGGTTTGTTGAATTACACTAACGACGTTATTTCCAAGGTTATGATACCCCCGCTGTAGTCTGCAGTCGCCGCTGAGCCAAACGTTGTTAAGACAATTAGCCCACTCAAAGAGTCATGGGTGTCTTGTCGGAGGAGGAGGAGGAGGAGGAGGACGGAGGAGGAGGAGGCGGGAGAGGGGCTCAAACACAGACAGGAATGTTCAGGAAAAAAAAATAAGTGCTGACACAAGGACCAGTGTCTGAAAAGTGATATTTATAACCAAAGTTGATGCAAACATACCCAGAATTGATGCAATTAACTCGTCCTCGTAAAGATATGAAAGACGGCATTAGCGCAGAATTGATTTAATAAACAATAAGAAGATTCGATAAACATCCGGAGCATATATTAGTCGCTGGGTTTATTAAATATCTCCACCCGTAAAGCCTTAATCATTGTTTTTGGAAGATGCCAGTCATGGTTAGGACGCGCTGAATCCGAATGAGCGGTTTCGAGTGGATCCCGGCTCCAGCTGGCGCTCGGCGAGCGAGTTGAAGCAGAGATGCTAAAGCGGTTTTTGGAAGAAAAAAAAAATAAAGGTGAAATCGAAATCAGAGGTGTTGCCCAGTGCACTTAACGAAATCCCAAAATGTTCACGCTGGTGTCATAATTAATAAAAATCCCGGTAATTTAAAAAAAGACAAATTTAAAACGGCCAAACTCAAAGCAGTCTGGACTTTCTTTACTTTTTGTCAACATCACCAGAGCGACAACTGACAATTATTTTAATCTGTCGAAGGTGTTTTTGTCGATTAAATGTCGGAAAATGACAAAAAAAAAACAATCGATCCGTGTTTGAAAGATGAAAAGTTTTCTGTCATAGAGGAATAAAGAAAAATAAAAATATTAAAGTTTAAGAAGCTGGGATCAGAGGAGTTGTTTTTCTCCAAATGTTTAAAAAAAAAAGAAATAAAATAAATTCTCAAATCAATAAATTGATAATCAAATTAGTGACCGTGATTAAGTGCAATTTTTAAAACCTGCCGACATATTGTCTTAGAAAATTTGCCAAAATTATTCTGTTTATCAGAGCCAGAAACTGTAAAAACTGAAAAAATCTGTGGATTTTTTACTTTCCGACGGTCCTCAAACTACTCATCCATGACATGAGAGAAAATAATCTTAAAATTGGGATATTTCATTACTTTATTCTATGTGACTCCATTGGAAATTTCGCCAATAATAGAGTATTTGCACCAACTAGAGTCTAAAAAAAACTAAAAACTAATACATCTGCACTTCTTGGCTCAACCAAGAAGCCATTAATGACTCTGTGATCAGTTACAAGGGCTTTTCAGCTGAACTGCAGGCAGTGTTTACATGGAGAAAACAGGAGACAACTGTGGAAGCTAGATAAAAGATGAAAGTTATAACTTTTCTATACTTTCCAGAACCCATTTCTGAGTTCTCCCTCCTTCTAGTCGTGGTTGTTCGGCTTCCATAGAGGTGCAGGACTTTATCTTGCAGTGAAAAACGAGCAAAAAGTGAATAAAAACGGACTGAAAAACGCCCCGAAAAAAGCTGCTTGGAGTTTAAAGGGTTAATTGTTCCAAAAAAAAAAAACAACAAAACAAAACTTCATCCTGCAAATAGTCTCTCTCAACTCAAAAGCGCCTTTCATTACAAAGTTGTAAAGTCTCGAGGCGAGATAACCCGACGCCACGACGACGACGACATCCTCGGGGTTATTGATTTAAACTTTGGAAAGCTCTTCCGTTTTTGCAGCGCGACAAGTAAAATGTGTGAAATTGCTGAAGAGCCGCGAGTGTCTCTCCAGCAAATTTTTGCTTTTATTCAATCAAGACGCTCCTCGAAGCGGCCGCAGTTCGACTTCCCGCCAGCTGGACTTTCGCTGCATGTCGTTTCCCGCTTTTTTTTTTTTTTTTTTAACCCCTTTGTGTCTATTTTGCTTCTGTCAGACAAAGTCATAAAAATGGCCCAAAAAAATGAAGCCTTTTTCTCTAACTCTGATATCGTCATGTAATTTCTGCGAGTTCTGCTTCGCCACAGATGGCTAAGTGATCTAAACGCGACCCAACCCGCAGCGTCCTATTGACGAGACATTGACAAACTTTTTCTCTTCGCCTAAAATGAAAAAAAAAATAAAAATAACGCGATCTTGCCAGGAAAACTTGGGAAAAGGAAAAAGATTTACAGCGTTGACGTGAGCGAATAATTGGAGCGCGGCGACTCGTAAGGCTCAGGTCACTCGAAGGCACACGCCCTCGCGTACAAAACACACACATGCTAGTCAGCAGAGCATTCCAGCGCTGTTTGGTGCTGTTGTTGCCATTGGTCTAATGGTTCTCACATGTCTGTCGCCCCTATCTTTGAGCAGCACGCTGGACAATGTGAGCTATTCTTAAGACTTTTACAACACGCTCCGTCTCAGGCCCCGCCGATCGACGCACAGATGGAACAAACATTCACACATAAGAGAAGAAAAGACAAAAAAGAGACGGAGACGGATATCGAGACTCAAACAGACACATAAACAGAGGGAGAAGTGTGTGTCGCGCGTCTGTTTGCGCTTGTCAACAGTGTTCGCGTTAACTGGAATAGGCGGGTCCCGCCTCCGCCGTCCGGCAAAGCGAAGCCACTCTAATGCCAAGCCAACTGTCAATCAAGCAAGCCGACGCGCGGCCAAGACTATGATAGCATCAGAAATAACAGTCTTCACCCATCAGTCTCACATGCACGAGCGGGGAAGGGGAGGTTAAAGTCGCAGCTCGGCGCCGTTTGAACGGGCTTCCAACATGCAAAACAGCATTAGTGTGTCAGGAGAGTCTTGCTGCTCTGTCTGTCTCTCTGTCATCGCTTTGACAGGCAGACGAAAAATGTCATGACTCGAGAACGCTGCCGCTGCTTCCACCGCCGCCGCCGCCGCTGCTCCGTCTAGTTAATGCGTGGGTCCATTCCCCCCTTTTTCTTCTTCTTCTCTTCTCTCTCTATACACGGCAGGCCCGATGCACAATGTCTTCTTTTGTTGTCACGTTAAAGTGATGCAATAAA